CTCCATAACATAAAAAATATATTCAAGTTAATCCTTATAATTTAATCTACTATATACAATCCCTGTGGAAATCAACTTTTATTGATGGACTCTTTTATGTTAGAAATTATTACACCACTGTATCAGCCAATCAAAAGCGACGTTACAAACGGCGACGTATTTGTTTTACGTTATGGGATGATAACATATATTTTTTTAGGCCAATGAAAAGGTTTGTTGCAAGCAAGATTAAATTATATGCTATTGAATGCATTAACACTTGCGTTTTTGTTGTTGCATAAAGTGTAGAGGAGACCAAAGGCGTTTAATCTGGTTCTTCTGATTCTGCTAACAGTTTCTTTTCAGGCCTGTCTTTTGTAAACTATTAAAGTTAGATATAAAGTTTGATGAAACTTGAAATGTATCTGCATCATACACAGATGTTATGCAGTGAACTATCAATGTGTCACTGTGACCTTGACCTTGAGGTCAAAGGTCAAGTAATGGCATAGTTTTAAGTAATATTTAGTTCAGACTTAAACTTTAAAACTGTTCAAAAACATGTTGAAGAATATTGCAGTACACTTATATTTGCCACAGAAAATGTACAATGTACGGTAATTAAGTCACTGTTACCGTGATATTAAAGTCAAATGTCAAATAAGTGCACACTTTTCATGTACGGGCAGTAATTTTTAAACTATCAAAGGTATCTTGATGGATCTTGCAGTGTTTTTGGATCATCCACAATTGATGTATAGCACACTTTCATTAGGTGCCTATTACCATGAATTCAAGGTCTGAGGTCAAATATTTTTGTTAGCTGTTACATTTAGCTGTTACCTGCCATATCATAACGGATCAATTGTATTTATTTATTTATGCATTATATTATTCATTAGTAGGACGTTCCTCTCGTAACCTTAAAGCTGACAGTGCAAGCTGAAAAGCTTTCAATCGAGATTTGAAAACAACAGGTTTTTTTCTTGTTTTGAGATATTCCCCATCTCCCGACTATCGTTTCTATGAAAGTGTCGACATTTTGGTTTGTCCTTACTTGGTAATGAGTATGGGTCTCGCTGGGTATAAAAAGCGCATAGGCCAAAGGGCATTCTGTCACAAGCAGTAGCCACGCAGTAGCAGTAAACATCAGAGATACACGTCACGCGGACAGAAAGAAAGTAGTGCTAACATATAAGCTATGTTGATTGCACTTTCTCTGCTTGGTAGCACCTTCCCCGGATATGGTAGCACCTTCACCTAGGCGTGTACGGCCGCGAATATCAAAGTAATGACTATTTAGTCAATGAATGTATTCTTGTTATAGATAAAGCCAGTAATGCGGTTATTGTTGCACCTTAAGTGCATGGTAGCACCTTTACTGCTTGGTATGTGTAGCACATTCACTGCTTGGTACGTGTAGCACCTTTACTGCTTGGTACGTGTAACACCTTCACTGCTTGGTACGTGTAGCACCTTTACTGCTTGGTACGTGTAGCACCTTCACTGCTTGGTACGTGTAGCACCTTCACTGCTTGGTACGTGTAGCACCTTCACTGCTTGGTACGTGTAGCACCTTTACTGCTTGGAAGCACCTTCAAAGTATACCCTCTTAAGGGCTTGCATTGCACTTTCACTATGACGACTGTGCACTTTTTTGTATATCTAGGGGTCAGCCTATTAAATAAGGCATTATGATAACGTATTTGCATTGTACTATATGTTATTTGTGCTGAAGTAACTGTTTGGAATTTTTCGTCTGTACTTGTTTGTCTGTTCTAAACTGTTTGACAGCTGGAGACAAGAGATCCATAGTAAGTCGACCTCCTTCAGTCGAATAGGCTGGTGGCGGCAACATAATACTGGCCAACATTTATTAATTCACAAATTCTGAATTTTCTAATAAAAATGATTACAGTTGTTAGAACACACAACGCTACACGATGTGCGGTGTCCGCGCAATGTATGCACGATGTGAGAACGATTGTGCGAATGATTGAAATCTGTATGATGTTTGCTTGCGCACATTTGTGCGGACGATGGACGAACGTTTTGCGATGGCAATCGTGGTTGGTGTAAATTGAAAAATCGCTTAACAATAAATACGGCCTCGTGTTCAAACATATAAACTTGATTTTTAAGTTTATTTCTATATTCTAGATACATGTATCAGCTGATCTTTCTATCTTTATCAATTTAATTTAGAAATGGTGTTTTCGGTGTTTTTTAAGCGACCAAAATCGACACATGTTAAATAGCACATACACGTATTGACACGGTCACGTATACAGGTAAACACTTTGTATCTGTACCTGGACTGCAGTTTTCCTTATCTGGGGCACTTACGTAATTCGCCAAGGTGTGAAAATCCAGGTAAAAGGTTGCTCTAGACCAAAACTAATGCAACTAACAACTACTTAACGTTCAGTTGTGCTTTCATAACGGTCATACGGTATCACATATCAACTTTCTTTGTAAGGCATGGGTCAGGTAAAAATCCGGTCAATCATACACATGTTATTTACTTGTTCGGTTACCTGGAAGCAAAACCCATTTTTGATAGTCTAACGGTCACCGTAATGCTGTGTAACACGCATTGTAAAATTAAACAGTATCTTAATTAAGTTGATAAGGAATTTATACATACAGTGTTCCTTATTTCAAACGAGGGATCCGGATATTTTTCATTCCGTAATATTGATCAAACAATTCTACCAAATCGTACACGCACAACGGGGCTAACGATTGTTAAATCGCACAGTTGTGCGCACCATGTGTGGACGATGTGCGGACGGTGTGTGCACAATGTATGCACGATGTGTGCACGCTATTGTTGGTTCGTTGTGCGGTCTAGGCAGGTGGAAATTATAAAGGGTGGTCCAACAGGAGTAATGGTATTCAGGGAAACCTGAATCAGTCGTAGCAGGGGGGCGCAGCTCGACTAGAATAAATGGAACCCGAAGAGATCTTTAGCACCACAAGGGTGGAGGTTACGAAAAAGTAACAATATTACAAAATACTACAAATTGAGTGATGGAACCCTCAGAGAGATTTAAATAATCAGAAAATGTTCCCATTGCTAAGACTGTTATTGACCCCGAGCAGAGGAGTAGGAACCCTAAGAGTAGTAAATATGGGCGACGAACCGTACACGTGGTGATCTTATCATAGCGACTTTAGAAGCCTTAGATGAATGTATTATTGAGGAACATAATGTGTGTTAAATAGCAACTGTTCAGACGCCTAGCAGGATTGAAATACCTGAACATCTGAAAGATATGTTTTCAAGATCTAGTAAGGGCTATCCTCAGAAGAGAGCGGATCCCTTAGAGCTTTTGATAGAAAATCTATATTTTTTCTCAAAATCGGCTGATGATATGGGGATGACTAATCTGGTACAACATAATTAGGGATATGACAGATAAAGGTATTATAGAGCCCTCTGATAGTCACTGGTGCTCCCCTGTTGTATTGGTGAAAAAGAAAAAAGAGTCAATTAGATTTTGCATAGGCTATAGGCGACTTAATGACGTGATCATCAAAGACTCCCACCCTCTGACTCGTATTGACGACACACAAGATGATCATGCGGATTATCAACAATGGTTGTCCACCCTTGACCTAAAATCAGGATATTGGCAAGTTAATTACCAAATACAGCATTACCTATACCTGATAGTGGAATATGGCAGTTTGTGTCCATGCCATTCGGGCTGTGCAATGCACCAGGTACTGTTGAGAGACTAATGGAGAAAGTATTGACCAAGTTGTCCTTCAAAATTTGTTTAGTATATTTAGACGACATTATTATTTTCTCAAAAACTTTTGACAATCAAATAGAAAAATTAAGACTTGTATTTGAGAGGCTGAGAGAAGCAGACCTTACGTTTAGCCCGCAGAAATGTAACCCCTTACAAGTGTCCTTTCTTGGTCATGTTCAGGTATAGAGAATGCGTTTGTGCACTTTTGTGTATATCTATAGAGGTAAGCCTATTAAATGAGGCATTATAATAACTTATCTGCATTGTACTATTTTTTATGTGTGCTTGAATAAATTCTGTGAATTTTTCGTCTGCACTTTTGTCTGTTCCGAACCGTTTGACAGCTGGGGACAAGAGATCCACAAAAATTGACATCCTTCAATCGATTAGACTGGTGGCGGCAGCATAATACTTAATGGCCCATATTTAATTATTCACAATCTAGAATTTTCTAAGAAAATAAATTAGTAACATTTTATCGCTGTAAGTGGTGGATTGTTTTATCCCAGTTTCTTCTTAACAGCAATGAAATCGCTTGTATGGCATTTGGACTTACACAAGTCCAAAAATCTACATATTTCTGTTATGATGAATATTTACTGAAACTGAAATGATGGGTCTTGCTATAGTCAAACGAGTGATGTAAAAAAAAAGCCTGCAGTATATCTCCACCATAATCCAACCAACTACAATAATCATTCATAAAAATAGGCAGCAAAAACAATTCCTTAACTTACGAAGGTTTACTGAGTTAATGACTAGGGCCAATATTTTGCAATTATATAATATTCGTATGCCATACATACTTCTACTATCCTTGAATCTTCTTCTTAGTATTAAACAGAGCAATGTTATAGTGACTCTGAATCATTTTTGGGTTAATGCATCACTAGAAAACATTATTTTATTCACTATTGCAGGCTCGACATGATGGATTCGTTATATAAACTGATTCGGGATACAAAATTTTCAAACTGGCTTGATGTCGCTGTAGGCATATCAATTACAACAAATGCCATCTCGGAATATCTGGAACACACCGTCCTGTCTCTGCATCGCGACATAAAATATGGACCGTGTGCGCAATTCCCGACCTGTAGAGGGAACTGTAGCAAGTCTGAACAGCACTTCTCCTCCTGGTGTGGTACATGTACGGAATGGAAGAAACAAATCATGCTGTTCACCAGATTCAAAAAGCGGGCCAGGAATATCAAATGAAAAGATATAAATTCTTCAGAATGGCCACATAACGTGAACGAAATGGTGAAAGTGTTCGCCCCAGACTGGTGGAGAACTGCAACACCATACACAGAGGACCTTTGTGTGACATTGCATGTGTTTCATAACTGTACGAAATTCAACATTCCTATCCAAACTTGTAACCGAGTAAAGAGCATTCGAAACGCTCTGTTCGCTCACGGACAGCTTCAAGTAAACAACGTTGAAAGGAAACATGCTCTAAGGGATCTTATAACGTTCCTCAAACAACCGGAAATATCAATCACCCAATCTGGTAAACTCGCTATTACTCAACTTTATAGTTTAAAATCAAAATGTGTCATCGACCATATCATAGAAGGGGACCCTGTTGGTTTACAGCATCACCTTGTCAACGTTCTAAAACCTCGCGATGCCGCAGAGAACACAATACTGGACAGATCTGACAACGTGAAGGCAGTGCGATCATGTTTATCTGAAGAGAGTATAAAGGAAGTAAATAGGCAGTGGTTACAAACAACACTTGTGGTCCGAATACTTTTCTTCGTGCTGATGGTTTTTCTCCTGGGGGTTGTATGGCACGGAATGACACAACGCAAACAAGATCAAACAAAAACAAAGGTAAAGTATAACATATTACACAATTTTGAGATATTCATCTGGGAAATTGGTTATTTTGCAGGATATTGATTCTGGGATCCAATTAGAACATATGACCGAGTTATTACAATTTGAGCCTTGAACCTTGAGATTTATACAGTGGGTATATGAGGTCTTGTTTTCTGGGGCAAACGTTCATTGTAATTTTCGAGCAAGATTTGCATGTCAGCATGTCATGAGAGTGAACATATCCAATAGTATTGCATCAGCATAATTTAACTGCACGTAGCTCGACCCTAACACGATTTCAAGGTTTATGTTTATGATAAGCACTTTCAAATTCCTTTAACAACGCTTGATTTTTGAATCTTAAAACAATATATCCAATTTATCCATTGTTAGAAAACATAGAGGTAAGACTCGTAACATGACCCTGATGCTAACATTGCAACTCTCGTTATCATCACTTATTTATATCGGTAAAATTAAACTCATTGTTTTCCTTTCCCCCTCTTAGCTTGTGTACCATTGACGTGTACTGACCCCTGTCTATGGGAGCCTGCCTTTACCTTCGACGGTTATCTGGAGGATCGTCCTGTCCTATTTGGCCGGAAGTGGCTAGTAGACAAGGTTCAAGCCTCATTGATGACAACACCTTCCAGAGGTATCATGCTGACTGCCGAAATGGGCTACGGTAAATCTACGCTAGTATCACACCTTATATGTAGTGGTGAACAATCGCATGGTATCGGGTTACAGAAATATCTGTTATCGTATCATATTTGTAAATTTGATGTTATCAGTACCCAGAAACCAGAATATTTTATTATTAACCTCGTTAGTATGTTGATAGAAAACTTACCTGAAGCAGGAAATGCTATTTTGACTAACAAACTAGCCTTTCATTTTTTACAAGTAGACAAATGTTCTGAGGATCCCGTTGGTTGTATAGACGCTACACTCGTTCATTCGTTACGCCAACTTACATTTGATGAGGAGAGGTATGTTATCATTGACGCAATAGACGAGTGTGGAGAATCTGCCGCCATATCTATGTCTCTTCTCGATGTGTTATCTAAACGAATCCATAAACTTCCTTGGTGGCTAAAATTCTTTATAACAGCGAGAGACATAAATATCGTAAATAGTAAATTGCCCGAAATGCAAATACTCCATGAGATGTCAGAAGATATCCAGAATCAGAATGACATCGATACGTTTCTCACTGACAATCTGTTCATCCATACAGACACATTTTCACGTTTGTTTGGCACACAAGCTGAAATCAGGTAGGCTACGAATCAAGTTTTGGGGATAAGTGGGTCTAACTTTTTGTATGTAGCCCACGCCGAGTAAATTGACTGATATCCCTCGGTCACTAAATGACTTATATGCTGCAAACTTAGACCGTGTGTTTGATGATAGTCCCCACTTGTACGATCTTGCTCGGAAGGTGTTTGAGGTTTTATGCACATCATATAAAAGATTACGACTGGATGAGTTGGAAGCCATTCTAAATGTTACCAAATATCCATATGATCTCAAAAATCTTCTTGGAAACCAAATTTCCCATTTTGTCGAAAACAGAATGTACATTAGCATATACCACAAAACAATCTGTGATTACCTGACAACTAACAGCTCCGGTTATCATAAGTATCATATTTCAAAGTACAACGGCCACAGAATGTTTGCAAACTATCTTCTGAATAAATATAACAACAGTTTGGTCGATATACTAAATCTATTCATTCACGTAGCCGAGTCGGAAGATAATGAGCTTCTACTTTCGTTTCAACATAGCAAATCTTTTTTCAAGATGAACATATCCCCAGTCCATCATCTTCATCAAATGGCCAAAACCAAAAACTCCTTTCTAGGAACCAAGTTGTTAATCAGTCTTCTAAGGAATAAACTCATAAATAACTTAACATCGGCAAATGTTACAGCAACATTTCTGGCGGCGGCGTTTGGAAATTCTGAAACACTAAGAGCACTGATAGAAGAGGACGGAGACTATCGCTTCCGAGTCCAAAGGCCTCCTAACAAGGGAGGGTTGGAAAACGCGGTCAGTTAATGCAAATATAAAGCTTTGTGGGGTTACAGTTTACTGGATATCGCGTCTCAGAATGGACATAAAGAAGTAGTGGATATTCTAATGAATATAAATCGGACATTACTGTATTTCGAAAACGGCTTAGGGCTAAACGCAGTTCACTTAGCCGCCGAACACGGCCATACAGATATATTAGATAAGTTTCTAGACATAAATAGTACGTTAGCCGATCAGCATTCTCTGTATTTAGCGTCAAAGAATGGTCACCTACGATCGGTGTTATCACTGTTAAAGCATGGTGCTAAGGACACGTGTGTTCAATGTGAGGACAACTTTCATTGGATCGCTAATAACACAAAGAGAATGCAATGGCATCCATGCTCTAACATAACTGACGGTACTGAATGTGATATCGCACTGCTAACTCATTATGATGAGGTCGATAATGTGACATTCGTCCTTAATGACGATGAAAGATTGATAAAGTGCACAACCGCATTAGAGGTTGCCGTACAAAGAGGTCACACGAAAATTGTTTCTCAACTACTATCTCAAACGACTCACGCCCTCTATTGTCGGGAGTATGGAGGTAGGACCCCACTCCTTACAGCAATCAAATATAATCGGTCTGAAATACTTGATATTATTGTAGAAAAGGGAGGAAGTTTTAGCGACAAATGTGAACATGTATTTAATTAAACAGTAAGACATTCACAGCGATGTTTAAATAAGAATGAGAAAACCAGTTTAGAAAAAAGCATGTGTCCTCAAAGGGCCGGAGTAGAACATGTCATCGCCATGGACGGAAGGAAAGAAATAGCTAGACATCTGTTATCTAAGGGCGTTCATTTAGACTGGAATCTACAAGCTGAGTCCGGTAATACACCATTACACTACGCAGCGTGTAACAATGAATGGGAAATCATAATACTAATGATAAAAACCGGAGATGGAAATATATATGTGACAGCGTCTAACGGTTCTCTGTCGATACACTCTGCTGTTCTGTGTCATTCGAGTATGTCATATGCAGCTCTTCATCATTTCTATGTTACAGTAAATAAACAACTAGTAGACGATGAGGGCAGAGGTCTGTTTCATTACCTGGTTCTGGGCGCTAAATTTGCTAAGGATCCGCTTCAAATGATATATTATTTGACTTCAGAGGAATATCTGTTAAATACATCAACGAAAGATGCAAACTCAGGTAATTTTCTACATTATGTTGCTCAAGAGGGCAATGACCGCATCTTCCTTCATCTTTGTGTCAGGTTTAATGTATCACTTTTACTTGAAGTTAATGATAAGAATAAGAATGTGATCGATGTTGCCTTTGACAATTTACCAAATCAAGGAGAAGAAAGATTATGCGTCGATTGTTCACTTATTGATTTATTTGAAAAACAACAAAATCTTGATTATGATGAAGTTTTATCTAAGGAGGAAAATATTATATATCGGATATTTCAGATTATATCAGAACATCAAGATGTTCAGAGATCCGTCTATTTCCGTAAGTACCGTAGACTTGCCGTCATGAAAGGTAACGCATTCCTCTTTTTGTCTATTATAATGTTCCAACCAAGGCCTTTGAATGTATCTATTGATAAAGACCTACTCACTGCCTTCTTTTCCACAGAAAAACCTTCAAAGAAAATGATAAGTATATTGTTACAATTTACTTCTGAATTTTGCAACAAAACGCTTGAGGAAAGTCTTGTTCACAGAATAGTAAGGAATAATAACAACAAATTTTGGGTATATTTTGTTGATACCAACGTGTTTTTAAACGCTCTTAAACCTATTGCGTTTTGGGATAAATGTTATGATATAGATGGTAACAATATACTTCATCATGCGGTCATGGGTGGAAACTATGCCGCAGTTGAATTCCTGATAGATAATGGCATGGTGTTTAGCGAAATTCCTGTATCAGAGTTAGTGGATCTAGTTTCCCTTGGTGTGTCGCATGCAGACATCTATGTTAATGATGACCTGAGCCTGCGTCCCTGGAGGGAATATAGGACAACTTTGATTGATAAAGGTGAACCTTTGTTGATACAGATTGATCATGAAGTCGATTTTCGTTATATGACAAAAAACTTTGATTTCACAACTTCATACATTTTATCGAAAATATCTAAATTGCATAAACTTAGATTTTCATACTTTTGTAAGACAAAGTCCAAACGCTTATGTTTGGTGCACAGAGCTGCTGTGAAAGGTCAATTGAATGTTCTGGTGACGATGTATCAAACTTTTGGTAAACGGGTTCTACAGTGCACAAATGAATACAAATTTACTCCTCTATATTTTGCTCAAATATTCAATCACTTTGACGTCGTTAAGTTTTTACAAAGTAAATCTGTAGCTGATATCCTTCCATACGAAATGGCAGAATTAGTGTTCTTTCAAAGCTTTGCAGCCGATAACGTTTCGGTACTAAAGAATGTCCCATCATACATGCATTCTCTTATAAGACTAACTCATCCGTATTTGTATAATAGGATGCCTAAGAACAATAATATTTTCCTACGAACTCTGATGCGCATGTGCTTTGATTTTGATAAAATGTTGACTGAAATCTTTGCGATGTTGAAACGAACGGTCTACGAGGCTGATACAAAATTGATTAATTATTCTATGTTCACAAATGATGTACGTTTTTCACTAGCCAACTTTTCAACTTTTGTTAATGTCATAGAACGCGAAACTACTGTTGTGGTAAAAGAATTATACAAAAGAATTTTTCTAATGAGACTTCATCGAATATATGGTTTTAAAGGAAAGCTGAGAGTTCGCAGCATCATGAAAGCGACATATGCAGACATAACCAAGTTTCATAACATAAATTCTTATCTACAATGGGTGATTATTTCATGGGGTTCTGAGTCTTCTTTTCATAACGATAGAATTCGTCGTTTTGGTAAGAGCTATCTGATGAATATGACTTTACAGACTATTAAGGAGTTTTACGCTTTCAGGAGAACATTTTTGGAGGATAAAGGAGCAGATGAATTTCCCTGTAAATCCGACATACCTGCATTCATTTTCAAAAATGGTGCTGTTCATCAAAAGAGGTTGATGAATAATTTGTTAAAAAGGTTTAACTTCAAAATGGTTAACCCTAAAGGTAAATTCTGGAATAATGTGAACCAATCATCATTTCCATTACATGATGACTGATTTGACAATGTCTTTCTTAAAGAGTTTTGCCCACGATTTTTTATAATTTCATATTTTACGGTCATTTGATGCAATAATACGTGTAGTGATCGATACCCCGTCTCTTTCGGTACTCAGATGATAGACAGGCCAGGTGACGCCCAATCTTTATCAGCCTAGTGAATATGCATAGTTTAAACTCGGTACGAAGTCACGTGATCTGTTACTTCACGACCTATACGATATTCTGTCCATTACGTGTACCCATTCCGACACGCCCCCTTTACATATTTATATACTTTCTGCAAAACTGTGTTAGTAATGATAGCAACTAATATAATGATTATGTTGTATGTGTAAATCATCAATGTTCAATGTTGTTGAAAGTATCAAAGTAAATTTCAACAGCGTGTAACCTTATATGCGTTTTACCTTAGGCTAATTACCTAGACCGAAAACTGACGACGATGTTTAATAAGGTAAAAATGTATGTAACATATACGATACTAGATTTTTCTGAATTTTAAAGTTTTATTATTTTTGTAGTACATGTAATGGTGGTGATGATATGACATTTATTGAATAGCTTAAAATACCAACATTCTTTACCAGCTTTTTAAGAAAAATGTATCTTCATCAGGGGCGGATCCTAGAACTCGTGATGAGTTTACTTGTGACACATTATTTTTAGATTAAACCTTCCAATTTTAGTATAAATCCAAACTAATCCAGTTCCTGTTGATGAAAATTGTGTTTTAAAACAAACGAATGTGTTGTGAAGCCTAGGTAAATTGAATATCACCAACTAGAGCGAGCCCGACAAAATTCTTTTCTATTTAGAGTTTGAATTTCACGTGTAATTTGAAGCCAGAGCTGAGTAGAAATTTGGGAACCTGTTTCTTTTCTGGAAAAAACATATGCATTGTTAGTCTTTGGGTTTTGGGTAATAACTTCAAGCCACACCACAGTGACGAATCTGTTGAGTTATTTATAAAGATTTTGATTTTTTTTATAAAATTCCAATTGTCGTTGAACGGAGTAGACAAATAATGACTGAGAACGGTTCATTTCATTACATATCATTATTAATTCCATACAAATAGCCTTGCTTGTT